AAAAAAAAAAAAAAAAAAAAAAAGAACTCCAAACAAGATACTAAAAGAACAAACTAACAAGAATTTAAATAGAAATCAAAGAATTAGAAAAGTAAGATCTCAAAACAAGATACAAAAACAAGAAATTAACAAGAATTTACCTTTTTTTTTTTCAGCAAACGAGGGCGGGATTTTATTAAATTAAATCAAGTCCACCAAAGCAACTAGGCTTTGGGGGAAAACAGACATACAAATACGTTCAGTCCAATAGGTAGTTTCCCACCGTGCTACACAATGAGCAACTACATTTTCCCCTCGTTTAACATGCTTACAAATAAAGGAATTAAAGTCTAAACTTGCTCTAATGATATCCTCATAGAACAAATAAATCGGGGTAGCACCTTTGTGTTTGCTGTTGACTGCTTGAACAACATTAATTGCATCACACTCTAGTTCCACGTCCCTGTATCCAAGTCTGTTGGCAAACTTCACACCAAAAGCAGCAACACCTGCTTCTGCCAAGTCCGGGGACCAGCATACATCGAGCTTTTTGACTGCAGCTACTAGTAACTCTCCAGCCCGCATCTCTTATAACCACTCCAAAACTCACCCCATTTCCAGCCATTACATGGGCATCAACATTCCCTTTTACCATGGGAGCAGAAGGGGGAAGCCATCTAGAGTTTGAACTCACACACTACTAGAAATAGGCTGATTTCCGACGGACCGTTTCTGACGGACATGTTTTTCCGTCGGAAATTCAGTAAATTCCGGCGGAATAAATTTCCGTCGGAAATTTCCTACGGAATAAAAATCCGTCTGAATTTATGGGATTTCCGACGGAAATTTAATGTTTCGACGGAAATAAAATCCGTCGGAAACTTCCTACGGATTATTCCGTCGATACATTAAATTTCCGGCGGAAATAAAATCCGTCGAAAATTTTATTTTCCGACGAAAAATATTCCGTCGGAATGTAATTAAATAATAAAAAAAAACCTAACCCTACACAACCCTAAAAAATACCCGGATCCCCCCTTTTATTTCTCGTTTCTCTCTCCTCTCCTCCCCTACGCCTCTTCTTCTTCTCTTTCTCTCTCCTCTCTTCTCCTTCTCCTCTCATTCTCTCTTTCTTCGATCTCCTCCTTCACAGCCACACCATTCCGGCCATGTCATTCTCCTTTTTCGATCTCCTCTTCTTCTTTTCAACGGCGACAACAACAACAACCACACCATTCCGGCCACCGCGCAGCGACAACAACGACCCTAGTAGCGTGGAAACCACCGCAACGACAACAACAACACCAGCCCAAGCAGCAACGACAATAACAACTGTAGATCTAGTTTTTTTTTTTTTTTTAAAAAAAAACAATTCTAATTATAATTAAATTTTTAATATAATTGTAATGTTATTTTATTAATTTCAGAAGATAATTGTATATTTATTTAATTTGTTTGATTTCAATTTTTTTTTGTTTATTTTTTTCGATTTATGGTTGTTTCGATTTATGGTTGTTTTGAGTTTTGGTTGTTTCAATTTTTAGTTGTTTTGATTTTTGGTAAGGGAATTGGGGCTGGATCTAGGTAGATTTGGCGTTTCCGATTTGGGTTTTATTTTGTTATTTTCTCGTTTTTTCGTATTTTTTTCGTATTTGGGTTAGGTGGTTGGTCAGGGTGGGTGGGTTAGGTGGTTGGTTAGGGTAGGTGGGGTAAGTTTGGTTATGGTGGGTGGGGGAAGTTTGGTCGGGTTTGGGTTGGGGGGGTGGGGGGTCTGGTCTGGGTTGGGGTTGGTGGTGCTGTGGGTAAGGGGTTGGGATGCGTGGGTTAGGTGGTTGGTTAGGATGGGTCTGGGTAAAGAGGTGGGGTGGTTAGGGTGGGTCTGGGTTAGGGTGGTTTGGTTAGGGTGGGTTTGGGTTAAGGCTGAGGTGGTTAGGGTGTGCTTGGGTTATGGTGGGTCTGGGTTAGGGTGGGTGGTTATGCGTGGGTTAGGGTGGGTCTGATGTAGTGGTGGTTGGTGGTCTGAGGTGGTGACACGTCGTGCTGATAGTGGCGCGCCGTGTTTTTTTTTGTTTTTTTTGCAGGACATTCCGACGAAATTTCCGTCGGAATAATCCGGCGGATTTGTATTCCGTCGGAATTTTCCGATGGACTTTCCGGTGGCCGGAATATATTTTCCGATGAATTAATTCCGTCGAAAATTCCGCCGGAAAAAACTGTTTCCGTCAGAATTGATTTTTCCGACGGAATTGGCGATTTTACCTACAAAGGGTGTTTCGACAACCAGTTACGACGGAAATTCCGTCGGAACAGTGTTTTCCGACGGAATTTAGGGTGTTTACGACGGAATTTTTCCGTCGAAAATGGCCTGTTTTCTAGTAGTGACAGGTAAAGAATTCACCTTCATCTGAACCTTCGAATTGTACGTGGTATAATCCACATACAGCTTCACAAAACCCACAGCCACACTCACTGGATTAGACACCAGCTTACCATTAAAAATAGTCTTGTTTCTGCAGTGCCACGCAGCCCAAGCAAGCGAGCAGAAAAAACGTAGCCTCTCCCCATCAACCTTCCCAGCCACCCAAAACCAAGACATAGGAGCTTCATTTAGTAGCTGCATAAACTCACTTTGCTCCCAAATTTTAAGAGCAAAATTACAATGAAAAAGGGAGTGTGTTATTGTCTCATCCCCCCCTTCACAGACATTGCAGCACTTCGAAGGCCTGATATGGCGTCTGTACAGGACATCCATCATACCAAGAGCAGTAAATCTCTGTTACTCACTGTGAGAAACGTTTTTGTTTCTCACAGTGGCAGTTTCGTAAATAAAATGTACCACCGTGACTAAAGTTGTACAATTTTATCATCCATTTCGTAAATAAAATGTACCACTGTGACTAAAGTGGTATATTTTATTTACGAAATTGCCACTGTGAGAAACAAAAACGTTTCTCACAGTGAGTAATGGGGGCGCCCTCCACCAAGAGTTCCCTTGCAAGCTCTCCAAATGAAATGGCTAAGTTTAGGTGGTCCACCCAAGCTCCAAACCTGTTTCCATAGGCTAGTTTCAGAACTGCCATAGAACAGCTCCCATGTGCGAAGGTGCCCAAGTCTCCCTAACCAATAACCAGATTTCGCCGAGTACAAACCATCAGACGACGTTGCCACCAAAATCTCTCATCACAGGGCCAACTTATAGATAGGGGGTATTCAATATAGCTCTACAGTCAGCTTCATTAAAATTGTCGTTCAACACATCAACATTCCATCGACCATTGTCAAAATCGATCAAATCACAGACACGCAACTCGGGATAATAGTGGGGTAAAGGTGTAGGTACATAATGTTGACAATCCCCTTGCAACCAGGAATTATCTCAGACTCGTATCAAAAATCCATTACCAACACGCCACTTAAGTCCATCAAGAAGGAGGGATTTCGCCCCCCACAAACTTCTCCAACTATAACTCGGATCAAAGCCACAAGAAGCATCTAAAAAATCAGAATTTTTGTAGTAGCGAGCCTTCAAAGTGGACTGCAGTAAGGAGTTACCATCCTTCATCAACCACCAACATTGTTTTGCCAACAACGCTTGATTAAAACACTTGAGGTCTCTAAATCCCATGCCACCCATGACTTCGGTAAACACAAATTTTCCCAACTATGCCAATGCATTTTTCTCTCTGAACCCCTCGAATCGTGCCAAAATAGCAAGCATTTCATCAATAAGTTCATCCGGGATTCTAAAGATACTCATCATTTAAGTGGGAATTGCTTGGGCGACGACTTTAATTAAGATCTCCTTTCCCGGTCTCGATAACAATTTCTCCTTCCATCTTTGCATTTTCTTCCATATTCGATCTTTCAAACAAGAGAAGACTGCCTTCTTTTATCTCCCAATTATAGTTGGAAGCCCCAAGTACTTTTCGTGCCTGTCGACCTCTCGAACCCCAGGAGCCTCCACAATTGCACTTCTTTGTGCTATCGTAACACATTTACTAAAAGTTACTTATGTCTTGCTTAGATTAACTTTCTAACCGGATGCTCTTTCATACGTACTGATTATATCGGCCACTTTAGAGCATTCTTGCAAGTTTGCTTTTGCAAATATGATACTATCGTCAGCAAAAAATAAATGAGAAATCCTCGGGGCCCCTTTGCAAATCCGAACACCCCGAATCTGATTCTGCGCTGACGCTTTTGAGAGCAATGTAGAAAAAGCCTCTGCACAAAGAAGGAAAAGATATGGAGAAATAGGATCCCCCTGCCTCAAACCACGTGACGGAGTAAGAGAACCCGGTCCGTAATCATCCCATTATACTTGAAAGAAAAAGAGACACCGGAGAGACAATGCATAATTCTAATAATCCACGGCAAACTAAAGCCAAATTTTGCCATAACTCTCTCCAAGAAGCTCCATTCTACCCTGTCATATGCTTTAATCATATCTAATTTTAAAGCAGCAGTACCATCCTGACCTTCACCTCCCCGTTTCATGGCATGAAAAATTTCGAAAGCAATTAGTGCGTTATCAGTTATTAGTCTTTTCGGAACAAACGCACTTTGTTGAATTGAAGTAATTGTTTCAAGCATCGGTTTAAGTTTATTTGCAAGTGTCTTAGAGATGATTTTATATAAGATATTACATAAAGTAATAGGACGGAATTTTGACATACTCTTCGAATCATCACATTTCGGAATGAGCACAATATAGGTAGAATTAATATCATTTAAGCACACATCACCACTCCACCAGCTTTTCACAAAACGAATCACATCCCCAACAAGAATTTAGTTAGAATTCAGAGAACTAAAAAAATAAGAGCTCAAAACAAGATACTAAAGAGAGAGAGAGAAGGAAAAAAGAAAAAAAAAAAAAAAAAAAGAGAGAGAGAGAGAGAGAAATTTAACAAGAATTTTAGGCAGTATCCTATGAAATATCCAATATCCGCATAAACTGCAAGTAAAATCAGCAAAAAATACAAGGCAGAAAAACAGAAAATTGAGAGCACCAAACCAGATACTAAAAACAGATAATGAACATTAATTTTTGGTTTTTGAACAGCTACACATTACATAACAAGTTGCCAATAACCATCTAAAAGCTAACAAACTACTACTAAGTTTGAAAGCTTTAATCTATGTGACAATTTCTCCATTTCCGAAATGTGCAAAATTATGAAGAAAATCACTTATGTTAGTCCATAATTAAAGTACTTACTAGTGGCTATGATAGCACACACATAACCTTCTTAACATAGACAAACTAGTTGAATTAAGCAGAGATCCTAGGAACAGCCTTGCACACCAAAGACGACTTCATTTCCATGGAAAGGTTGAGGCACTCGGTCAAGTCCACACCATTCTCGGTCGGAACCCACCTGAAGTTCTGAAGCATCTGAGCCAACCACAGCTGAGCAGTAGCCATACCCATTGCCTTTCCGGGGCAGACACGACGTCCTGCTCCGAAAGGTGCCAGCCTCAGGTCTGAACCCATGATTGGGACATCCTCTTCCATGAACCTCTCGGGTTTGAACTCGTTGGGGTTAGACCAGATCTTCTCGTCGTGGGTGATGGCGTACATGTTGACCATAGCGGTGGTTCCGGCTGGGACGAAGTGGGGACCGACGTGGGTGTCGTGGATGGAAAGACGAGCCCATGATAGAAGTGGGCCTGGTGGGTGGACTCTCAATGTTTCCTTGAGGATGGCTTGGAGGTATGGTAGGTTGGGGAGGTCTGAGTCGGCGACTTGCCTGTTGACTCCGACTACGCTGTCGATTTCAGCTTGGGCCTTGGCTTGAATGTCGGGGTGCACCACCATCCTTGCTAGAGTCCACTCTAGTAGGATTGCAACTGTGTCTGTTCCCCTGAATATCATTTCCTGCATTTAAAAACCAAACATTATTTAACGTTTTGTAGCACTCCATAATTAACATTTACTCATAGTACATTAGCTTTGGTCTTTAATCTTTACAAGTTGTGTGAAATAATGTAAAGTATACACGTCTAAACCAATAAGCATAAAAAGGTACATATCAAAGAACCCACTAACTAGATGCCCTAATATTAACCCATTCTAAGAAAAAAGCATACTTTGTACATAAATACCAAATATATTTTGGCAATAATAAAGACACAAGTTACTTGTATAGCATGTACTCCATCTGTCCCTATTTTGTCCCATTTGACTATGCACGGTCTCAACACTTGTTTTAAAACGTCTATATATATTTATTTTCATATACGTAAAAATTATAAAAACGTGATATTATTAAAATATACTATGAGACGAATATAACTAGAATTATCTCTTATAGATTAATGGTAATTTAAGGTCAAAGTTTCCAAAATTTGACCCAAAAATAGCCATGGAGTAAAAATTAAGGGGTAGAGGGAGTATGCAATATGAACCAACACCCAACAATATGGCACATATAGTATACCATTTCTAACATTACAAACTAAATTTAGAACAAAAAAATAAAACATATCATGAACAACACACGTAACATGAACAAAAAAATAGAAAGAAATCATACCCAAAGAAGAGCAATCATGTCAGAGTCAGAGAGCTTGTTCTCTCCATCTTCCAAGTCCAAAAGAACATCAACGAAATCCTTTGAATCATCATCAACCTTCTCACTCCTCAATGCCCTGTGCTCTTCAATCACATTACCAACATACTTGTTTACCTTACCAACAAGATTCTTGCACCTTCTCCTTACTCCTTGTAAATCCAACCACCTTAGAGGGGCAAAATGGTCTCCCCAGTTGAATATTCCCAACAATTCATAACCTTCCTTAACCAATTCTTCAAGGTTATCAGCTTCCTCGGTCCTCTTACCGAAGAAATCGTAACTCTTTCCGAACACACTCATCATGACATTGTTCAATGATCCGAAATGCAACACATTTTTGATCTCAACATTTCCCTCATTTCCCATAATAGTAGTGATTTGGTTCACCATTTGATTACCAATTTCTTGGCGGAATCCTCCGAAGTTGGAAATTCTTCTCGGGCTGAAAAGATGGGTTGCGGAAATCCTTCGGAGGTTCCTCCAGTAATCACCGAAGGGTGCAAACCCCATAGCCCTGTTAAAGAGAAGCTCATAGGCTGACTCCTTAATAGGACGATCAGCGAATTCGGAGCTGTTTAAAATCTCTTTAGCAGTCTCGGGTTCACTCGCTATAACAAAGCGAGTCAACCCAACTGAGAACGCCATCAACGGCGTAGCCTTGAGGCTAGTGGCAATACTGGATAGGATTCTATGAGTTTTTTCGGAAGCGAAAACATGGCCAAGACCAATAAGGGGTAACCCGGTTGGACCAGGAATAGCCGAAGCGGACTTACCGTTGCCACTTCGGTTGTTTTTAACTGCGGAAAGAGACCATGCTAAGCCTCCTGGGTACAAGAATATGGTGAAAAGGGAAAGAAATGCGGCAAATGAAAGGAAAATGGGTGCAGAAAGAAGGGATGACGCTGTTGGCAGCAATGAGAAATTCGTTGCTAAAGTTTCTGCTGACATTTTTTTGGGTTTTTTTTTTTATTTTTTATTTTGGCACAAGAGAATTTTGTTAGGTTGAAAAATGAAGAAAGAAGATGAAAGGATGGTTTGGTGAGGTAGAAGAAGTGTGAAGGGCAGTTATTTATAGTGGTTGTAAAATACCATATAATATTACTTTAATTTAATATAATATATAATATTTTAAATGTAATTTATTTCATGTATTGGGAGTTTAAACTTCAGATTATGTTAATGGTAAATAACGGTGAAAAAGATGAAGGGTTGAAAAAAAAGGAGTGAATATTTATTGTGTGAGGCGGTTAGGCAGTAAAGTGAAAGAGTGATATTTTAGATATTTATGAAAAGAGATTGTATTGATATCTTATACTCTTGGTACTAAAAAGATGCATGTTTAGAGTAATGGAGATATTTCATGATATTGTTCATTTATGGTTTGGAGTACGAACAGAATGCTTATGTTCCTCTTGCTCTTCATTCTATTTCAAAAATGCAATCCGTAATCAATTGCAATTTCTGTAAGTTTATTGATCAACTAGGTTAAACTCTGTGCTATTGCACGGTTTTTAATCATATATAGTTATAATAAATAAATTAATATTTTAATTAGAAATTTTAATTTAATTTTTATGTAAAGCAAATGTTATAATATATTTATATAATCACTATTTATGGTAAAAATAATTTATTTAAGTAAGCACTTTTTGGAGGGAAAATTTTCAATATAACGTTGTCAAATGTCATTTTGAATTCACCTTTAGTAATATGTAATAGATATCTTTAATTTTGACATTTTTTTACTAATAATATTTATAAAAATATAAATTATTACTAATTTTATAAATAAATACATTTTTGAATTAATCTATTCTTATTTTTATTTTATCTTTTTAGTTGTAGACGAAAACTTTAAAGAGATATTGAGTATCTATCTATCTAATAACTTATACTAAAAGCGAATAACCACTGACACTTGTCATTATCTTGTGAAAAAATTTCCCGCCTTTTTTTTTTTTTTTTTTTTTACTATTTTACCTTATAATATTTTCTTTTCAATTTGATAATCATATTCCATATATATCCAAATGAAATATTTCTGCGAATTCTAACCTAATAATAATAGTATAAAAATAAGTTAAAAACGACTAGTTTCACGTCAAAAAAAACAAGACTTTTTTATTTTGGGAGGGGGGGGGGGATTTATTACAATTAATCTTTAAAATATCCTTAAGTCAACATATAAAAAGACTTAAGTATAAACCTTTGATTATATGTTCATAATGGCAGAAAATGTAGTCATTATTATTTTTCCATAAATATTATTTTATGTGTTCGACTAAATAACCGCTAAATATATACTCCTTATTATTATTATTATTATTATTATTATTATTATTATTATTATTATTATTATTAAAGGATAATTTGTACTCTATTATGTGGCCCTAACGATTAGCCTTTGTTTAATACTTCCTCTGCTTTTTTTATAGTTGCAACACTTCTCTTTTCATGCTTGCCGATGCATGATTTCAATCGTTAATATCTTTAATTATCAATGTGTAAAAATTATAAACATATGTTATTAAAATAGTATAAATCGAGACGAATCTAACAAGATCTCACGTGACTATATTTTTGCTTACGTATAAATCATCAAATTAAAGCTAGTCAAAGTGAACCATATGAATAGTGTAAAAGTCAAAGTATTACAACTATAAAAAAAAGGAGGAAGTATGTTTTTATAGAAAAATTAATTTTAGTAAATTAGGAGTCACTGTCTTCCTATGACGATAGTTTAAAGTCGATAGATTTTCAGTCGTTTTAGGGGGTGGGGAAACAGAGGGGGGTGGTTTTTGAGGGTCAGGGTGGTTGAGGGCTGGGAAGGGGGCCGACAGTGGGGGTGGGATGCGTAGGGGTGGGGGTGGGGCGCTGGTGGTCGTTGATTAAGTGGTGATAAATTAGTTAGGGTTTTCTTTTTATTGGTGCTAAAATAAAACTTTTAAAAGAGGTGGTGGTAAAAAACAATATCGAGGGGTTTTTTTTTTTTATGATAAAAATCAAAATTTCCTATGTAAAAAATCCTCTTTTGATTCCCGCCCTATAATTTTCATAAAATTTTGTGCATACCTTAGCACTGCGATTATCACGTAATAGAGGGTGTATTAAAATTTCCTTTGTTTTCTCAATTGAAATTTTTTGAGTTTATTTTGTTGTTCAATTGGTATTTATTTAAGATAATTTCCTCATGTTTTTTTTTCTTGATTGATATGTTACTAAAAGTACAAGAAATTTGGTTGGCGATTATGTGATATGATGAGAAAAGTGAGGGTGGCACTCTAAGAGGTAGGGGTGAAAGTAATTCGGTTTAAAACCAAATTGAACCGCAAACCAAACCAATAAGCAATGTGGTTCATTTTTTATTTATTAATTTTTTTTAATTTGGTGCGGTTTGGTTAAGAAAAATAAAAAAAAATATGATTTACGGTTTGGTTTTGGTTTTGAGTTTAGAAAAACCGAAATTTAGGATTCTTAATTACCTAGAGTCCAATCCCCTTCATATATAAGGCAACCAAAAAAAAAAATCTAAACTCTTATGTCATCATTAAAACTTGCTATTTGGTAATAGCCTAATATACGAAGTATTATTTGTTTGCTTTATTTTTGGAAAATTAAATTAAATCAAGTCCTAAAACAGGTTTTGAAAAATTATGCCCAAAAAATGTTACAAATCAAACCCCAAAACACTAGGTCTAAAATTGTGGTTTGGTTTGGTTTGTGCCGAATAGTATAATGTGGTGTGGTTTGAAAAACCTCAAACCGAATTAATATGGTTTGGTTTTGGTTTGGGCTATAAATCACACTGCAAACCAAACTATCACCCCTACTAAGAGGGAAACATTTGGGTTTGATCTCCTCTTATTATTTAATTCTCACTCTTGATTGATAATATAGATTTTATTATTTTCATAATTTTTTAAATACCAAATCAAGGATGTTTAGCGGTAAAAAAAAAAAAACAAAAAAAAAAAAACCGAACATAAAACAATAAAGTATGTCATAATTTACTTTTCTAATCTAATCTAGTGAACTTATTTTTTTTAATCTGATTTGAAATAAATGAAAATAACGTAAACTAAACCTATCCTTAACCAATTTTTTTATTTTTTTTTCTACTTTTAGTATAACAACAAAAAAATAGTGGAGTTGAACTACCCACAAAATCCAAAGTATAAAAATTAAAATTAAAAAAATTCACATTAGAAACTACATAGTATAAACTATTTCATCTTTTCTTTTTTACTTGACATGTTTATTTTATCACGCTTGCCAATACAAAACTTTAACATTTAATAACTTTGATTCTCCATAAGTAATAATTATAAAAGTTATATATTATGATAATACTTATATAGACGAATTAAAAAAGATCCCACATGAATATATTTTTCCTTATATATTATTCATAAAAGACGGTCAAGAAAAGGGTGATGAATAATGTAAAAGTCAAAGCGGATCAAATAAAAAAGAATATAGAAAATATAAAGCAGTTTGCGATGGATTAATTGGGTAGAAGGCCTAGCTAGTAGCCTAGTTAATCAAAATAACGATACGCAGTTAATCAAAATAACGATACGCTCGTAATTGGCTAGTCTAGTAGAGTAATACAGACATGCATGCATAGGTCAAAATTAAACCAAAGTATTTGGTGCAGACTTTGCAGTATACTGCACAAATTACATGCAATGTAAGACTTTGAAAAAATATAAAAAAATTCGTAAAACAATTGCATGCAGTATAAAAAGTTAAAAACTTTGAAAGGTAAACAATAAAAATTGAAGAAAAAGTTAATTCTCTCATATTAAAAGGCTGCGAGTAGAATAAATTTAACACCAACAATCCCTTCATACTTTTTAAATAAGTGTTACACTTATTAAATGTGATCGTATTTTAATTAATATTACACTTTATTTTTGGTAAAAAGTTACATTTTAATATTATTTCTCTTTTCATGTTTTCTACCCAAATTCACTACTACTTTTTTTTAGTCATTTCTTTCCGCTCACATTTATTATTTTTCAATAAACTATTAACCTCAATATATATTTTTTTAACCATTTTTTAATACTCCAACTATCCCATTTAGCTTTTATTTTAATTAAGTTAATTAAATTGCCTAAAATTATGTGTCTGATAAACGTGTAACACTTATGAAAAATTACAGAGGGAGTAGAATAAAAAGTATTCTCTATGGCTCTATGCAAGCTGCACTGACTACAACAACTCTTGGAAAAGTTTATAGTTTTTACCGTTTAATTTAGAATGTACAAGGTATTTGACATTATATATCAAATAATTAAATAATCATGAAATTCTCTCCTCTCTCCTCAACCCTAGCCTCCATTGTTGTTTTTTTAAAGGGGTTTCCATCGATTTTAGCCGGTGAAAAGTCCTCATCCTTGTTTCGTTAAAAGTTTTTTTGGGAAGAACTTTTCTCCCTCGAAAGGAAGGGTTTCCGATCTCCTTCGAAAGACAAGGTTTATCACCTCTTTTGGAGGGAGAATCTTTTTAGGTTTGAATCCATGATATTAGATCTAATGGATTATTGTGAAATTATTTCGTTAGTGAAAAATTATGCGAGATCGGAAGGATTATCAAGCTTTCGAATACAGACAGATGAATCAGAAGGAAAACATCCTCACGGCTACGAAGGATCATTAGATTGTCTCTCCAACAAGGCTGTATTTTCCAGCGATATAAGTCGGAGATGTTTCACAGTGCAATATCTACTCGATGATCGTAGTTTTTATAAAGGAAATTTTTATTTGATTCAATATCTTATGTATTTGTTAAACCCGAATCTCTTTTATAGATGTCGTATGACTTTTTATTAATGAATTTTTTTACTATTCAAAAAAAAAAAAAAAAAAAAAAAAAAAAAAAAAAAAAAAAAGGTATTTGACATTATATTATTGCATGGTTCACAAGTGTTTACTCACTACTACTCCGTAATTTTTATGGTCACAACAATTCTTAGGATAATGTTCCATTGCATACTCTTCTTTTTATCTGAATCACAATATATGCAAATATTTATATTCCTCATTTTCTATAAATATTTGTTTGCTAAATTTGTGACGTAAACATCAAACCGAAAGATCTCATCAGCCATGCCCATGACTGGCTATGGTCCGAGTTATCTCAAAAATGGTACTTAAACATGCGTTGGGTCAAAAATAAGAATTAATTTGTTTTGTTTTTTATATGCACGATTGTTGCATTTTATTTTTAATATATTTATTGGTGGGATTCTCTACCAATAGTAATGCTCTCTACATGCATTGGCTAAGAATTACATGCTTTGTCTAAGTAATTCTTTGGCTTTAATGGATAATTTTGTTCGTGATTTTCAATAGTACT